GGGGAAGGAACATCAAAGTGAAAAAAAGTCGAGAGGGGGAAGGGGGAACAGAGTGTTTCAAAGACAAAGGTAGAGAAAAAGGTAAGATGAGTACTGTACAAGGGGTCGAATATGACAAGTAATCGGGCCATGGTACTTTGAATTCAGAAGTCAACTGCCGGTTAATAGACTTTTTGCCGTATGAGTATACGTTGCCCAGAGTGCACTACGTGGAGGTAAGTCTATCGCACACCCCGACTGAGTAAATACAAGTAATCACAGTCTTCATCAAGGCCAAGTTGGTCTGTTTATCATGTTGTTACTTGCTAAGACGTAGAATTGATGCCGAAAGTGTTTATTTTGTGTGCAGTTGTAGTCACTCTTTTGCATGTGTCTATCCGATTTGCGTGACGTACTCGGTTATTATTGCTTCTTATTTTAATTGAACTCAGCTGGTGAAGCAAATGTTTCACCTCAGTTCTGAATGGGAACGAAGTGGATACGCTTCTAGACGTCTAATTTTGCCTGATCTCTTATTTACTTCTCTTATTGCATCTGATTTCTACCTCGGTTGTCAGCGTTTCACTACTTGATGAAGGGGAGGGAGGGGGGTGGAAGAGGTCTTGCATTCTAGTATCAAGATGGAGTTTATCTGGATTACCATCTTTGTCGCAAGAGAAGACACTATCATGGCAAACAGAAGTTACTAAGGAGAATCAGGTAGCGAGTTGGCTGTGGGTGGTGGGACAGGTGCTCCAAGACGATTTTTTACTAGAAATTTGAAGACTAGATAAGCGAAGGTAATTTGATCCTAAATTTCTTGATTATGTCCTGCACATTGGAAATAACGTCTCCAAATTCACACTGGTTGGTTTTATGAGACGATTGGAACTCATCTGAGTGTGTAAGTAATTTACCTTACATCGGAACCCAACGGCTAGCACAACTTTTATCACTTGTAAGATTTAAATCCAAATAACAGAAAACATATTTGTACTATCTTCTATTTCACTCCAGAGGATTCATCCCACGGCTTTTGGGTGAAGTGATTACTGTCTGGCTGACAGCAGGGATGGCCTATGCTGTCAACCGCTGGATATTCCCTGAAGACGTCGATCCCAAATACAAGGAACAGACTCCCTACCTTGCTAGTGTAAGTTCCCACTCAATGTTTTCGTCTTCGTCGCTTTGGTCCTCACTGACACTTGTGTTTTTGTTTCACAGCTCGTCGTTTCGTCCTGCACACATCGCCTCACGGTCACCTCCACTGTTATGGCAGTTAGCGGCTCTGGGTAGGCTTCCACTTGAATGAAATTATGTGGTGCCTTTCTCCTTTCTAACGAACCTATTTGTTATTTCTCTCTCCAGTTTATCTCTCGATGTGCCCTTCAAAAACAGCTTGGAGTGCTATAACTATCTCTCAACAAGGGTAATTGCTATTATATATATATATATCTTGCTTTAACAAAGTAAGCAGTAAAGATATCTGCTTCTTTCATTTTTAGAATGCGTTCCTTCGTGGCGCCTCATTCTTCTTCCGTTATGCGGCTGGTCCCCTGTGAACCTCTTATTATCTTTCATCGATTTCAAATGAATAGTTTGTAGCACTTGTATCTTTAAATGTAACTTCCATTGTGACAGTCTATTTGACCTTACACCGGGTGGGTCAGATATCACTTATCCAGCATCAGTAAAGCCAATTCAGTATAACAAAAACATTGATTGCCTTATTTCTAAGATTGGTTTTATAAAAATAGGCATAGAATTCACTTTAGGTACATCGAAACATCAATCTTTAATTCGCAGTAGCTTTAAGCGCGAAAAGCACATCGGATTGAGAGCAATTGAGTCTTAGAAGCATGTTAGTGTCCCTTCGAGAAGGCTCCGTCATAATTAATTTATAGGCACCGAGAGAAGCGCACATAGCAAAGACTTCTGTATCCGAAGGTCTAGGAATGCCTATGCGACAAAAAAATATAATCTACAATATCAAATATGAATAAGTGGAGATGTTAACATGCTCATTTTCAAGTCACCTTCAAGATTGCAGAGAGTATAGAGCTGTTGTAAACAACGGTAAAGTATGACTTCCTCAATACCTCTTGCTGCGACTTCAGAGACGATAGCTCTTAGCAGGAGTCTTTCATAATGAGAGACGCATCGGAGAGCGGTTAGAACTGGAGAGGTAAACATTTCACGTAGAGCAGCGTTTGCATGCTGCATTGTTGTATTGAACGTTTTTCCGCCTTCAAGTTGAGCTATTTCTGCAGCGCGACGACATATATCCAATGCACGCCGTGCATCTCCTGATACGGCTGCAACCTTTCGAGTAGCTAATTCAATCGCTTTGGCCTATAATACAAACTACTTATTAGAAATCAGTAGATTATGTTTAGCCCTCCTCTGAATTAGCAGTTATAAAAAGGTTGATTGGGCTATCAAACGATTCATGGCTAAGGCTAGCTAGAACATCACTTGTACTACGAATGGTGCTAAGTGCTTCGAGCAGAACAGAAATGGGGAAAATACAAGAAATCCGTTGAATAAGCGAGTCTTCACAGGTACATCGAGAGCATATCCGCATTTGTGGAGAAAATCGGCTTAAGTAGGAAATCCTGAAGTCAAATTTTAACTGAAAGATGTAAGCAAGGAGAATATTGATCATGTGGATTTCTGGAGTTACCAATTCTTTGCTAAAGACAGTGATGGTGATACAAGATTGATCGTCACCGAAGATTACTGGAGCAGACATTTCAGATGAGATTAATAATGACTGAATAAGGACAATATTATTGTACATACAAGTGTACAATTTTTTAAGTTAACCCACGGTTGTTACTGAAAGGACGTGTACTGTCAATAGAAAGCCTAAAGAATTTAGAGAGCAAATAACGCAGATTTTCCCACAAATCTTATCTTCCCTGGGGGTGGGGGGGGGGGGGGGGGGGGGGAGGTATTAGCACTGAAATTCTTGACCTTCACTGTGGGTTAAATAGCAAATACAATGAGCGGTTGTGACTAACATCAAACGAAGAACTCAATTCCGGCCCTAATCTGGCATTAACGATAGCCGCGAGTTGATCATGCGAGTAGGGCGCAAAAGCCAGACGATTGAGACCCAGACGACTAGCAACGCGATGGTGCAGAACACGCTCAGGCAGGTCCATAGTATTGGCCACTGCGAGAACGATCAGGGGTCTTCCTCCACCCTTTTTTTTCTTATCTCCGGCACGATAGGCCCAGTCGAAGAGAGCGTAGAGGACGTCTTGACGCTTGGAGCAGAGAAGATCTAACTCATCTAAGAGCAAGACGCATGCTGGAGCGGCGATCGCGTTGCGCTGGCGTGACGAAGAACAGAACTCGACTTCTAGAAGAGACGTCGCTTTGTGAGCAGATACCTTCTTTTTCTTCAGAGCCTAAAAACAAGAATTAAAGGGGATAATACAATAGATGTCGCAACTAAATCAGCCTCCTCCTGAGATAACATTATTTCTTTTAAAAATCCCTTATGATCTCAGAAAAGTGTCAATGTTGACACTACTCGCTATGCCTCGAAGATGAGTAGGTAATTCTGCACGTCCTAAATGAAATAATAAAGTCGAATTTTGTCAATCCCTTGCCATTATCTCAATAGGCCTTACTTTATTTTAACCAGGGCGTGGTTTCAACCATAAACCTTGATTCTTGGATCGTTTTCGTTGTACTCAGATGAGAGAATTTGCTGCCCCTACGTAAACAGCCACGTACAGTCACGAAAAGATCCACACTATTTGCCTCGCATTCACAGATTTACTTTGATATCACAAAATTCGAATGACTTGGATTTTTACAGACTTCCAAGACTTGAGAAGTTGAGTCAATATCATACCTCGTAGATATGAACGTAGACCTGCCGGGGGTCAGAGAGCTGCATTCCATTGACGGTAACAAAGTCAAAGGGAGGCACAATAGCATCTCCGTCATCATCTACACAGCCGGCCATAGCCTTGGCGACAGCGTTGACAGTCGCCGTTTTGCCTGTCCCCGGAACTCCAGAGATGTACATACATCTGAAAGATAAGCGCGTACAAGATCTCAACCCTCGTCGACAAAGATAATTACTAAAAAAACAGCTCAATAAAACTACTGTTTACCCTCCAAAAAAGCCAACTCAAAAGTGCCGCCAAAAACAATAATCTACTAGCACATATTAAATGCCGTTAGGGGGGGGGGGGGGGGAAGCAAAATGCCTCTGATTGACAGTTAATGATTTTTCCAGCAAATATGTCTACTCTCAACTCTTACCTTCCACTACAAGGGTGTGCGAGAAACTTACCTCCACGTGGTGCACCATAGGCAACGCATACTCATGCGGCAAAAAAAGTCTATTAACCGGCAGTTCACTTCTGACTTCAAACTGCCATGACCCTACTGTATGTCATATTAGACCACTTCCACAGTACTCACCTCACCTCTTTCTCCACCTTTGTGTCTGTCTCTTATGCATCTTTGAAACACTCTTCTGTTTCCTCCCCTCTCTCGACTTTTTTTCACTTCGATGTTTCTTCCACTCTGTGAAGCCTGAAGTCGACTAAAGGACTAATTATAACACTTGACATTTGATATATAAATGAATAAATATTTTCCACTACATTTGTCGAGGTTAGTGGTACTTTAGGCCAGCACTTGAAAACCCAAACTATTGGCATGACAAAAGAAAGGCAAAAAAGTGAAAATAGTATGAAATGAAAAAAGGGAAATAATAATGCGATCCCGAATTATTGAAACTTGCAACTTAATGGTATTATAGAGTACATTCGTAATGAAAATAAACCCGGAAAGCTCACCCTCCAGTGCGGTTTTGAAGATGGTCAAAGAGAAATTCGAAGATAGTATCGAACTCCTGTTCGCGACAGGGTAGACAGTCGTTTGAGACCTTGGAGGCGTGAAGCCTGGAAGGGAAGAAATAAGCAGGTGAAGACAAAGAAAAAGTAGCATGGCAATAGAAGCACAACAAAAAAAGTAATTGAAGGCGCACTTTGCATTCAGAGTATCACGGTTAATTGGAATGGCAGTGGTTCGAGGAGGCACAAACGCTTGATCCGCAGCAGGGGTCTAGACGTGATTAAAAATAAAGGTCAAGAACAAATTTTAGTGAAGTTTGCTCAACAATTAAATAATTCTTCTTACTAAACTCTCATAAATCCCAAACGAAACTGTGCCCCCCCCCCCCCACAGCAGTAATGTGGATGGGTGGCGCAGTGCTCTGTTATTACGTCTGAAAGAAACTCGCTACGAGAACACAATCTCTGACTGGTAGTAGAGTAACTTCATGCTATTTTAACACAATTGGGCAGACAATTGTAATGGAAAATTGAACAGAATTTAGAGAAACATTGATTTCGAGGATGTAGAAACAACAACGACAACGACAACAACAAACATCTTATTCCCAATTTTTGAAGGATGAATTTTTCTTTCCTCTAATAACATCCCAAACATTTTATCAAGAGTAGTGAGTAGTGCACTATCTGCTATGATAGTGAAGATTTTTTGCTTTCGGTATTTCGAAGTTGCCCGAGAGATGGTAATTAAAATGTTCCTCCAAAAGCCGAAATTCGAGAATAAGACACAACTGAAATCTATTTCAATCTCGTCTCTTAAAATCATGTTCCAATTGAACTGCAAATCTTTAGCGAATGAAGCTGGCGATAAGTCTAAACAAAAAAGTACTACCGAAAATAGTAAATTTCTAAAATAAAAAAAACAAGTTAATTTAACTTGACTGCGACACGCGACTTACTCGTGGGACCTTTCTCGTTGTTTGTCGCCTATTTCTTCTACGACGAGAACGAACGACATTCGAACTGCCCGAATCACTACCAGACGACTCAGACAGCTCTTCTGAAATGACATCTTCAAGTTCTGTCTCTTCCGTGGAAGAGGAGAAATCATCTTCATCCTCAGAAGGAGTAAAACTAGATTCTACGGAGCTGTCCCGTCTCGATTTCCTCGAACTCTTTCGGTGAGATGCAAACGAAGTCGGGGGAGCTGTCATATGTTCAAAATAAAGACATTATATCTTAATTGATTATCTGTGATAACTTTTCCACATCGAACAGTAAAGCTAGCACAGTTCGTACAAGTGTGCATGATGTAATCAATAATAATTTCAAAAGAAAGTTAGTAGGAAACAAAAAAATTAAAGCTCTTAAAGCTGAGGGGTTCGTGCTTCGACTCCAGGATGAACAATTTCCATAGGCTGCCACCGTGTCGCCTATCAAAATCGGCAGTTAATCAGATCAAAAAGCGTAATTGGTTCAGCAGTGTTTGGACGTTTACCTGTCAGCAACATAAGATGGCATGCATTTACGCAGACCTTAAATGTAGGTAATAAAGTATCTTTGAGACCCACTTGTGTCTTATTTTTGTCTCCCCATTCCTCTGCTCTCCCCCCCCTCCCCCTCCCCACCCCCATCCAAATCGGATCCAAGTCACCTATAGCCTAGGGATATTTATTGAGCGGATAGAGGCGATAGAACAGTGCATTACAACAGCATTAGAATCTTATCTTGAGCATTATATTGACAAGGTGAACGCAGAACAATTCACTCAATTCAATAGAAGCGAATTGCGTCACCTTCCTGACCACAATGACTCCAAGTTCTTTATTAAAAAGAAACTGTAAATGTGATGCATCTGTTGACATGAGGTAGAATTTTTATTATAATCTATTTCAACTTCTCAAGGTCATACGCACTATCCGTTCAATTACAGCATTCTTTTAGGTACCCAATATCGTCATAACTTAGTTAATGCTATCGTTTGAGTATAGGCAGTCCGTCTTATTTCCGAGATCTGTCATGAATCCATCAATTAATAAATGGAGCACAATATTTGTCTTCTTAGCAGGTCTGGAAGAATAGGAGTAGAGAAGATTAAAGAATTTCTTCAAACACTCACCTTTTTCAGTATGTCTTCTAGTGAGAGGAGTGCGTGATGGGGTCTGGGTCACCCTCTTTGATTTGGGACTGAGGGAGAGTTCAGCATAGCACTGGATGATCTTTGCCATAGCCACCTCCTTACATGTCCGTGGTGTCCGAGCTCTCTCCTGGATGGAGGCGGAAGGCACCGTCATTACTGTATTTCGACTTCGCAAAGTAATGCGCTTAGTACTCTTGGGAACTGATGGTGCATCTGCAAAAAGATGACAAATAACCATAGAATGTGTGAAAACAGATGAGAAATCAAAACAACTTCGTGTGTTTCTTTCCCAATACAACTTTATGGTATACAATCGAAAAAAACACTGGTAAAACAAAAATTACGCTGAATATTCTATAAAAGTTGCACTTACCAGCTGATTTTACAGGAGTACGAGGCGATACCATGGTATTTTTTACTCTCAGAGGACCCCGTACACGACAAGACGGTTTATCCAGATCAGCTACAACAAAATAGACATGAATACGACGTAATTTAGTTTAATCGCCACAAGAGAAACAACTCATAGAAAGTAAAAATGAAACATATTAGGAGTGACCATTAGAAAAAAATGAAGAATGTTCGGAGAAGATACTCTGGAAAATTTCAGAAAATCACAAATTCGATCCATTAACTATTACCACACATGGCTCACGATACGAATGACCTCCGGAGTCATAGAAACAACACCACCGACATGCATTTAAAGACCTTATTCGATTTGTGCTCAAAATGTCGAATATACCGAAAAAAGAATTAAACATAAAACCGCTGACAAAATGAGAAGAATTCGAAGGAATAGGCGGGAGATGGATTTAGAGTGGGCCGATTTTATTCCCCGCTCTCAATGAACCTCGAATTAGTGCAGAGACAATAATACCAACTTTTGGTGTTCTTTTAAATATGCCGTATTATTTTTATAAACGACCCACCCGTGGGTCGCTTCGAAGCAGATGGAAATCGGCAACGACCCAAGGGTGGTTAGTATCGCACTCAACGTGTTAAAGGAAGAATAAATTTAACTCAGAAACGGCGACATTATCCAAAATGTCATAGATTTCGTCGAGAAGCTAAATATTTCCAAGATCTCAATTTTGAACCAATGGCAATAGTTCACACCAATAGCATTTTCAAGTAAAAATGTAAAGCTTTAAATACACGACCCGATTAAATGCCAACATTAAGCAATTAACTCATCAATAACGAGATTAAAGGACGCGAGAATTCACCGCAACCTATGATTGAAAGTCCATTAAGTTCCATCTATTCTACGAATTATAACACCAATGTGATATTTGCATCCCCTGAAAGTAAGCAGCTTCATATGTATTTGCGATTAAATTAAATACTGGCAAACTGACTAACCAGATTTTTCTGGAGTACGCGGCGTATCATTTACAGTTGAGTGAAAGGTATTTCTTGACCTCAAAGAGCGCACTTTGGGTTCGATATTCTCCGAATCAACTAAAAATAAGTGAAATCAACACCGGAATTTTGTCTTAATTTTAATAATACCATATATCTAAACAAAATCGGTATAAGAAGATAATTATGGCAATCAAAAACAAGAACATACCTAATTCACAGGTACTTTCCGACTTGTACGGGCTGGGCTTTAATGAAATTTTTAGCTTTGCGAGACCTCGAGCTAAATGTGAAGAGATAGCTTAGGAAATATTAAAGCAGAGTTTTTCGAGTAGAATAACATACTCAGTTCGTCTGGGGATTTAATATAAGTAAAAGATGTCAGAATAACTTATTAAAACCCAATATTATGCTTTAAGTAAAGTAATTGTAGCTACGTACTGGGGGTTTCTGGGATTTTGAATTGATCGACAGTTTCGGGAGGGAGACGCTCTAAGCGAACCATAGGTAGGTTCTCATTTATTGCCTTGATTTTACAAGCGGATTTTGGTGATTTTGATCGATTTCGAAGAGCTAAATTACATAAAATTAAAGCTAATAACCTTACAGGGCATTGTATTAGAAAAAATAAAGTTGGCTCAAGTGATAGCCTACAAAGTTTAGTTTGTGCGCAAATGCCAATTACCTTAATATCGCAATAAATAAATATTCATTATGTTCAATGCTAAGCTTTATATTCAAGTTTAAAACTTATAATTTTGGAATTATTTTCTTTTCTTTTTATTCTATTAAATTTCGGTTTCAACTGTTCGGCCAGTAAATTTCCAGTAGACAGTCATGTGAAATCGACCTATTAAAATCTCAAAATGTTCTTTTCCTTCTTCCTATATTTAATTAGCTTTTATTTATCTTTTTGAAAATGCGATTTTTTGTTTTCATTTTATTTAATGGTTACTTTAAGCGCTAACAATTTGTTGCCCTGTTAATTTTGATTGAAATAGTAGCGGATTACTGCACTAATAAGCCTTGACTTATGCTTAGTGATATCTATGGCAAAATCTCCAAATTTGAATAGGTAAATATAACTAACTACCCTACTGCAATAGTATGGAGGAACAATCTATGGCGTGGAATGTGCTTATATGGACAATATTTCCACAGGCCAGAGGCTTAGTCTTTGTATATTTATTTATTTATTTCAAATGGCAGGCGTTATGATAGGTATCATTAGCCCTTCAGTTGACTTCAGGCTTCACAGAGAGGAAGATAAACATCAAAGTGGTAAAACGTCTACATACAGAAAGGAAGAGGAACACCAAAGTGGCAAAAAGTCGAGAGAGGGGGACAGAATAATGATTCACAGACGTAAAAGAGACAGGCCTTCACAGAAGGAAGGTTCATCAAAGTAGCAGAAAGTCCAAGGGTTGAGGGAAGGTGCATCAAAGTAGCAGAAAGTCGAGGGGTAGAAGAGGGAAGGTCCATCAAAGTAGAAGAAAGTCAAGGGGTGGGAAAGGAAAATGAACATCAAAGTGGCAAAAAATCGAGAGGGGTAAACAGAAGAGTGATTCACAGATGTAAAAGAGACAGACAGACTGACACAAAGTGAGAATAATGATTCACAGACGTAAAAGAGACAGACAGACACGAAGGTAGAAATTGAATAATGATTCACGGACGTAAAAGAGACAACAGACAAAAAAGTAGAAAAAGGTGAGGTGAGTACTGTGAAAGTAGTCGAGTATGAAATTCAGCGGGGTCTTGTTAGTTTGAAGTCAGAAGTTAACTGCCG